CAAAGAGCAGGACCAGAACCTGGAATACCCCCTAGGGCTTCTTAAGACTTTCAACTTTCTAAGACCCTGGGATTCTCCAGCATGGACTAAGCTATGGTGATTTTGTAAAAATAGGATAAAGCCAACCTGCATGTTGGTTATGCCCAAGATTTTAGTATCCACAGAATGAGGCATTTATGTTACTGCTGCAGCTATTTCATCAATAACTTGAAGACATGAATTTTGCATTACACTTAACATGAATATAAATGTATTATTACTGAAAAACCTTCAAGACAACATTCTAAAGGCATTCCAAGATAACTAAACCTTTGTAACTAAAATAAAACAACCCCCTAAGAAGCTTTTAAACAGGCTTACAGGTGTAGATCAGCCATTGTGTATTCCATTCTCTGCCTTCCTAATTCCAGCCTTCTGGCTTCACTGGAAGAAAACAACACACAGTGAGATAAAAGTATTTCACCATCTGAGAACACCAGAACTAGGGGGTTTTGCAGAGCACAGCCCTTGCTGAGCACAGAGGTCAGATTTGCTGGGAGTTACAGACTCATCTGCCAGCCCAGCTCTGAACAACTCCAAACTTTCACCCCTCTCTCTGTTCCTCACTGGAACAGGGTTGCTGGCAAGGGAAAAGATTCCTGAACACCCACATGGGACCCACCAAATCAGCCAGAGACTCCCGACGGCCCAGGAAGGGCTCTGAACCCCGTAATGGGCAGTTCCCAAGCCCATCCCTCCCCTTCTTGCCCCACAATCCCACAGCAGACCCCCTTCCATGCAAGAAACACTTGGCTGGAGTTGTTCCCAGGACAGGCTCCCCTGAACCTGCCACAGGGATGGATTAGAACACAATTCCAAAACCCTTCCCAGCTCACAGACCCCACATGCCAGCCAAGTATTTTATTTAGGCACTGAACTTGAAACCAAGCTCATATTTCCGTCTTGTCATCCAAGCCAGGTGAGCCCCACTTGCAGCACTGCTGCAAGTGTCCACCAGGTATCCTGGTGGTGCTGAGAGCCTGTGGAGCCATTGGAACTGCCTGGAGCAGTGCCAGGCCACCAGGCATGGGACGGACACACGCCAAACCACAAAGTCACCCACACCTCTCCCAGAGCCAGCCCACAGGGAAGGTGTTTTGGGGAACAGAATAAAGCTGCCATTATTGAATAGCTCCAAATTGCACCTGAGGATGAACAACCATGCCCTGAGGGAAAAACTGAAAATAACCAAGAGAGGCTTCCAGCAGATTCTCCCTGCAAACCCTGCCACAAGGAAAGCCTCTTCAGGAACAGCATCAGGTTGTCATCAGGCAGCAAAGGGGACATCACACATCCCAACAAGTCTTGGCACACTTTTTTGTGGATTTGGGCTCTCCCTACACACATAGACATCCCTTCAGTTTCCCTGCAGAGAAGGGAGAGAGGAAAAGCCCTTCCTGCCGCTCTGCCTGGGAGATCAAGGCGTCCCTTTTAGCCATGTGATCCTGCCAGCGCCTGGAGCAGGATTAGGGCTGTGTGTCATGTGCACAATTTAACAGCCACGCTCCATCTGGGATCTCATCCCTTCAATTTCCTCTTATGCCACGGACAGCCAAGCACACCCAGACTTCAAGATCATGGTTTTACACTTCTCCAAGTAATTTTCCTGCTTCAGTGGAGAACACCGATATCCTAAGGGACGAAGAAGCCGATGGATGTGACCTGATGTGTGCTCTGATCCCATTTCCCACTCCCCCATCCCGCAAGGGAGCACACTGCGTTCCTCGGCTCCCCAAAACCCATTCCCTCCCCACCAGAGAGATTTTTCAGTTTTTCCAGCACCCCACTGGCCAGCCCGCAGCAGCCACTCAGGCAGGCAGGGATACTCAGGGAAGGTCTCCTAGGGCAGGCACAGCAAACAAACCCCCGGGCATGGGGCTGGACAAGGGCCCAGCACCAGAAACAAACCCCGGCTATAAACAACCTGAGAGGGGATTTAAAGTCCAGCTACACGTCCCGGCATGGTCCATCGGTCAGGAGCCGAATCTTTGGTGACTGACTTCCCAGCCGCTCCAGAACTTAGATATCGAAGGGGAAAATAAAAAGGAGATGGATGAGAACAAGGACGGGGAAAGAATCCGCCCGTCCGGGGCGAGAACCGAACCCCAATCACCCTGCGGGGGGACCCGGCTCACCTGGCGCGGGGCTGGAGGGCGCAGGTCTGCGCATCCCGGGGCTGTCGGTGTCCGGGGGCGGTCCCCGTGGCCCCGATCCTGGTGCTGATCCCGGCGCCGTTCCCGATCCCGGTGGCCCCGCGCGGTTTCCGCCGGTGCCCACGTGCGGCTCCCGCCGTGCCCCGCGCGGGACCCCGGAAGTGCCGCCCCGCGTTGCCATGGGAACGGGCGGGCGCGGCCTGCGCCGCCCAGAGGCGCTTTGGAAGCCTTGAAGACTTTTTTTTACCCCTTTTTTTTTTTTCCTTTTTTCCCCCTTTTTTTTCTTTTTTCTTTTTTTAAAATTAAATAATTACTTATCGTCTGCCCATCTCTCACCGCCACGTTGTTACCGCAAGTGTTGAGCCCCCGGCTTGGTGTTGGAGGGCACCTATCCATGTCACAGGAAAAGGGGGAAATTTGCAAAGCCAATCAAAAAAATAACTGGGAGCTGCTGAACAGCTAAAACCATTGTACACCATGGTTTTCATAAAAAAAAAAAAAACAAAAACAAAAAAAAAAAAAAAAAACCAAACCAAAAAACTGACTTCGCCATCCTCTGGAGTGCCACTGTGTCCCTCTGGTGCTGTCACCTCTCCGAAATTCATATTGGAGAAGCCACAGTCATGCACAGCCATCTCCAGCCCTGCATTCACATCTCCAGCTGGAGAATGAAAACAGAACGCCCGCCTTTCATTTCCAGATAAAAACTTCAATCCCTTTGAAAGGAAGTTGCCAAATGAGTGCTTAAATTCCAGGGCCCCAATAAAATCTGAATACCGCGGGAATAATTGAAATGAAGGAGAAGCGATACATCAATAGACAAAATTGCAGAGAGCAGTGAAATGCTTAAGCATAATTAGGATGGCAATCAGAGTACAATTAGTGCGAGATCATCACAGTAATTATGCTTCCTTAGAACTTCTGGCCAAGAACAGACACATGAAAGCTCAGCTGGAGCTGGAGGCTCTGGCTGGGGACATGCCCTGGCCTTGGGGGGATCGGGAGCTTTTGGGGTTCCTAGACTGGGTTTGGAGATCCAGCAGCATTCCTGATGTTTCCAACACCTGCAGCCTCCAGCTCAGCCTCATGGATTTGAACTCAGAGTGAAAAGCTCTGTGGAATGGATGTAGTGGCACCCAGCTGCCCCCAAATTAGCCTGGCTCAGACTCCATGTGTCCATCTAAATACCCGGCTCAACAAAGTATTGAGAACATTGGCTTGAGTCAGAGCTTTCCCACTCCAGGAATGCCCAGCATGGGATTTGGGAGCCTTTTAGTACTGCATTCCCATATAGAGCACGTGTCATGAAGACTGTTCTCCCCCCTTCTTCTGTTTACTGAAAGCAAAGATGTATTTTGGAGGTCTCCCTCACACCTTCACAGGAGCCCACAGGTGAAATCTGGCCCTGCTTTCAGAAATATTTGTGCTTGCTAAAAGAACACCTAAAACAGTGCAAAACTTCCCAGCACCTCCAGCACTGTCTGAAATCCTGAGCCCACGGGAAGCCTTATTCCCAAACTGAAAAAATAGGAAGGGTTATTCCAGTTTTGAGGATTTGGTGGAAAGGAGCTGATAGTCCCTGACCCATTGGGCTGCAAGTTTGTCTCCTGGGCAGCCCTGGGAGGTTTTGATTCACTATGAACCTCAGGTTGGGGCATGAGGGTGTTGAACCACAGCAGGGCTCACCATCCTGCTATTTATTTAACAAAAAATAAGGAATTAAGGAGCCTTAGCCTGGTCTCCTGATGTATTTCTCACTTTGTTACGTGTCTCGGTGCTCACCGCAGCCCCTGGGCTCATAACTGACTCAAGAATAATCTCCATCCTCCCATCCCTGATAAGGAATGTGGTCCCTTCCCTGAAAGCCTACAAAGAGGAGTGTTTTATTTGTGTTCTCTCTGCAGTACTTCACACTTCTTTTAGATTGTTTTAATTTAATTTTGATGTAATCTGATAAGAGCTGTAAAACTGTCAAAGGAAGCCGCCTCCTTCTGTCGCATTAAATACACTTTGAAGGAAATGGTGGCTTTGTCCCCAGTGCTGCCAAACCAAAGCATCTCTTGATTCCAGTGCAGGGATTGATGTGCACTAATCTGAACAGCTTTACACTCTTTTTCATTTAGGGAGGCAGCCACGTGTCCTTTAGCATCCCCCTCTCCTCTGGGAAGTAACCATATCCCAGAAGGTGCAGGATTGGCCTTACGGAGCTGAGCACTTGGCCACAGGCCTCTCACCTACCAGAGACCCCTGGCAGGCTTTCCTAGTTTTCCAGGGCAATGGATCCATGTGCTGCACATGCCTGCTGCAGGGATGGGAAGCCCCTGGCTCCCAGAAAAGTGGGAAACTCCTTACAGAGCAGGAATTGTTGGTGTCCGTGGTAGGGTGTCATGGGACATGCAGCAAGTGGGGAGGGGGGGACAAATTGCACTGGAAAAGGGATTTGCAGAAACACAGAGATGTGTTAGGAAGAGCTTTTCCCTCTCTGTGCCTGGGTGACCCTTGAGATCCCTCACCCACAAGCCAGGGCAGAGCCAAATGCATTTGCTTTTCTTTTTGTCAATGAGACATATAACACAGGCCCTGGTAGCTGTGTGAAAACATACAGAATTTACATAATGCCCAATACGAGTCCTTTTTGTTAATGACTCAAGTCCCAAATGCAGAGCACTAATAACACACCAGGAACCAAAGAGCAGTAACAGCAGTGAGTGATCTCAGCAGAGCAATTGTGAGGATCCATTTCCTGTCAGTGGCAATGCCTGGGAGCAGTAATTAGCGCGTTGAATTTAATGTTCACATTTTAATACATTTAAATGTAATAAAATGCTTTTATTAAGTGGTGCAGTTCCTCCAAACTTGTTATTACTCATGTCTGATGCACAAGCAGCGCACACCACGTCTGGCCTCAGATCTGCTGCCTTGGGGAAGGTGACAGAGTTCCTCCAGCAGGAACCTGGAATGCAGAACACAACGGCTGAGTACACAAAAACCTGGAGACTGCAGCAGTTACAAGCATGTCATGTTTATTACAAATGTAAGGGCCTTAGCCAAAAGTGACATAATTGAAAAGCCCCTAGGCATGTCACTGTCCGTGGATTTTGAATTAATCCAGGAGAATTGAGATATAAGCACATACCACTGATATTAACGAGCCCCAGAAAAGCCACGGCGCAGGGAAGGGCCTGGTTTAGAGATCATTTTCCAGGAAGCCCCAGCCTTCTCCAGCCATCTCCAAGTGCTTTTCCAGTGTCCTGTGCAGCACAGAAGGCTCCACGAGTGGAAGGGAGCAGGTGTGGCACGAATGAGGCTATTCCAAGGCCAAGCATCCAGAGAGGATGTCAGGGAGATTTCGGGTCTCAGTTGCTCGTGTGGCCAGGCTGTAAACACGAGGAGTCTCCATTCAAGTATCTGCTGCTGTCTGAAGAGGAAAGAAGAGATTGATAGTGTTGAGCTTCCCTGTCCCTGGAAAAATGAGAACTGAATTCAGGCTTTTTGAGATGTGAGCTCAGAGGCTTAATTTGAACCCAACCACTCGCAGCCAAAGGGCTCAACCCTCATCTTCCCTGAAAGCATCTACACCTCACACTCGTGAATGCCCTGTGCCATGGCTCCTTCAACTTGTGTTCCCCAAGCTGAACCGGCTCTGGTGTATTTCTGTTCAGGAGAGGGTATTTTGGCTCATTCAGGCCTGCAGTGATCAGACTGCAAGCGGCAGAAATGGTTCCCAACACACAGCCAAACCCAGTGCCACAAGTGCCTGTTGGGGTCCCATGGCTGGGGGGACCAGGGTCCTGCTCAGCTGCAGCCTGACCTGAGGAGACAGAACCCAGCACAAGGCAAAGCCTGCCACAAGCACCACGAGCTCCCCTTCTCACAGATGTGGGATGGAGACCATCGCTCCAGGGGCTCTCAGGATTCCCTGTGCCCAACTGTCCTGCTGCGGTGAGGAAAAGGGGACACTGCAGTGAGGAAAAGGGGACATGCACCCACACCTGTTCCCAGCACACAAAGTCCTACCTTGCCTTTGGCGTGCCATCTCCTGCACCAAGCCATGTTTTTGCCAGGATCCTCTTTCAGGAGAACAGCCCCTTCACTACCAAGCTGTGTTCCCTCTGCTGTCCACTCTGCAGCTCCTGCCAGCGGGCCACGGCTTGGCCAGGCCACTCCATCCTGCTCAATCTCAGTGCTTGCCACTGCTGCTGCTGCTGCTTTAAAGGACACAGATCTATCAGGCTCTTTCATTAGTGTTTTAACAAATTCCTGGATTGATCTCATGTACAGACGGAAAGACTGAAAAAGTTTAGCTTCTACAAGCCATGAAAAATCAAAGGGAGAATACAAAATAACTGGGGAATTCTTTTAACGGAATTAGACGTTTTCCTGTCAGTCCCACAGTTCAGAGCCATTGGTTTTGAAGAGCTGCTGCCTGCATTGACAGGGATGAAGCGTTTGGACAAGGTGAAAAGCCTGGAGGATCCCAGCACCAGGCTCAAAGGGATGTGTCTGGCCCATTGTCTGGTGTGATTAATGAAGCCTTTGCACAGCGAGATAATGCAGTGTTTGCCGTGCCGGGGACGCTGCTGCACAGCACAAATATCCCAACTATGAGGAATATTCAATACGATAAAAACAACAACAAGCCCATCTATGTATGACTGCATTCCGCCCAAAACCACCTCAAATGATATTTGTTTATTTCCTAATTGTCAGCCACTTTGATGCACTTGTGGTCAGGTTCAACAAGTGCTCCAGGCTCCAAGAGTTTGAAACAAAGGGAGGCACTTGGGCGAGCTGTGTGGTGTGTGGGGCCAGGATCCGGGATCTGGCGGCACAGGCAGTGGGGCGCGGCTCTTGGGACAGACACACAGACAAACACGGGGTCCCTGGAGGATCCCTGGCCTCCTCACAGCCCAGCCACGTCTGTGTCTCAGCAGGAACACCTGCGGGTCAGCAGCGACTCTGGGAAATAAAAGCGAGCGGATCAGCAAAAGGGCCGTGCAGGAGGAGAGCAAACGTGGAGCTCCGAGCTCACTCCATAGGGAACCCCAAGCTCCTGCCTGGGCACGGCTTGGCTGCTGCCCCTGTTCCAGTCTCACTTCTGCCAGAGGTCTGGAGCTGAATGCCCGGACCTGGGAGCGCTTTGAGGAAGCACTGTGTGTGCAGCCAGCCCAGGTCTCACCTGGGGCGAGTCCTGCACTCTGCCTCTCCCAGCCCTCCAGTGCTGTAAAATCCAGGTTTGAGTGGACATGGTATTTTTCACTTCCCACCCCAAACCACTGTGCTGGTTTGCTGTGACTGATTAGGCATTTTCCCCCTGTCCCATGCAGAGGATTGTTCTGGTGGTGAATGAAAGGATCCACACATATCAACTGTTCATTTGTTTGTAAAAAGCAGGAGAACAAGCACGGGACTATTCAATTAATTAAACTCTGTCTGCTCATAGCTCAGCACCCCTGGGCCCTGCATTCCATTCAGAACACACCAAACAGAAATAGGAACCTGAGGCTGAAGCTGAGAAAAAGGCTTGAGCAGAGATGGAAAAATCTTCCAACAGCGCATTTTGACAGTGCTGAAAACCACGTTCTAACATATCTGTGAGGCAGCATGGGGTGGGCAAAGGCTGGGGCTCACTTCCAGGCTTCAGGTTCCAAATGCTTTGCCCGTTTGCAGACACACAAACCGCACCAGCCTCTCCTGGCGGCCCGGGGGGGTGACCTGTGCCCTGTTTTCACCAGGACCTGACCCGAGAGAGGCGCCTGACCCCGAGCATTCTCCTCCTGCTGCTCCCCGCAGCGTCCCCGCTAGTTCAGCACAGCCACCTCCCGCTGTTACGGGTCCGGGACAAACCCTGGCCCCCGGGAGCACAGAGCTGCCCCAGCCGGGACACTCCTGAGCGCCCCAGCCGGAGTCTCGTTCCCTCAATACTCGCATTATTTTTTTTTTTTTTATTTTTTTTTTGCAGGAGGAGCGCGTTTGTTCTCTATGCCCGAAGCGCCGGGGACGCGCTGCCCGCCCGGGCGAAAGGCTGACAAAGAAAGGCGGAAAGGGGAAAATCCCCGTCCATGTACCCGCAGCTCCGGGCGGAACCCCGGCCACCCCACGGGGGCGCGGGGGACGCCCCGATGGAATTTGGGGAGCAGCTGCGGGGCCGCCGCTCGCCTTGGGCTGCCGCACCCGGAGCGTTCGGTCCCCGCTGCCGCTGCGGCCACGGAGCGAGCGCGGCCCCGGCCCCGGGGACCCCCGCCCAGGTAGGTGCCGCCGGTTTGCTCCCGTCTCCCCCTCACCGCCTTCCGTCCCTTTGGATTTTCCCCCGCCGTTTCCCTCAAAGCCATTGAATTCCGGCGATTTTACCATCGGGGCAGCGCCGCGGAGAGCGGGGGCCGCCGCTCCATCCGCTACCCGGGGATCCAGAGTGAAACCGCCCCTGTTCCGGCTGCGCTTCCAGCGGCTCCGGGCAAACGGGACCGACCGCAGGCGGCGGTGACCGCAGGCATCGGTGACCGCAGGCAGCGGCTGACCGAGCGCGGCGGGGCTGGACCGGGGCCGCGGGAGGTCGCACCGGACCCGACAGCCTGGGCTGGTGTGATGCGATGCAGAAGGGTCCGCTCGGAGAGCGGCTGCCCGCCGGGGCACGAAAGGGCCCGGGTTCCCACTCCCCGTCGCCCCGTAGGTTCCTTACCTGGGCTCCGGGCTCGGCTCCCCCGCCGGTGTTGCCGCTCCCGCCGAGGCACGGACAGGCAGCAGCCACAGGGAATTTAGGGTCTTCCCGAAGCCCTGCCGCCCTTCCCGAGGGGGGTCAGTGCCGGGGATGCCTCCCCCCGGCCCCGGGATCCCCCCGGTCCTCCCCCCGTATCGATTCCAGTCCGGCGCTGGCAGCGTTTAGGCCGGGATTGGGGGATAATAGGAATATCATCTGGAGACAATTACCTTTGGAGCGCGCTCGCTTCTCCTCCCAGACACTGTTATTTGAGCAATAGGATCATTTGATTTCATATCGCACTAAATAACCCCCGGCCGCCGCAAATTGCCGCCTTCTCAACAGCCACCCCTTGGAATAAATTGCACAGCGACTCCTTGGGCTCCAGCTTCTTCTTATTTTTTTTTCCCCCTTATTTCCCCCCTCCTTTTTCTCCTCTGCAGAACGGTGTTTCGGGAGAAGCAGGGACAGAGGCCCGATGCTGGTGGATAAACTGCGTCCAGCAAAGCTCCAGCTCCCTTAATAAGCTAAGCAGCCAAGCCCTACCCGCACTGCTTTTCCTCATGTTTTTCTCCCCCTCCCTCGTCTATTTTTTTTCTTTCTTTCCTCCTTTCTTTTTTTTTTTTCTTTTTTTTTTTTTTTCTTCTCCCCCTTTAAAGCAGTTTTTCCCCTGCCAGGTCCCACTGACTGCTGGGCTCGATGCGCCTTTAAGGCTCTGTCAGCACTCGCCTGATAATCTGGTCATCACCGGCCTCATTAGATCTGTATTAATGTCAGCCACGGATTGCTAATTAGATTTGCGGGATAAATGAAATTACCCGAGTGGGCGGCGTGGGAGGGGGAGTGCAGTCTCCCAGCGCTTCCCAGGATTTACGGGGGGAAAAAAATAAAAAAGGAAAAATAGAAGGGAAAGACATAATTTTATTTTCCATTCTTTTCTCCCTCCTTTCCCCCCACTGAGCCCCATCCTCTCCTCAGGCTCCCCTGTGACAGCCACTAACCAAAGGATTCCCCAAACTGCTCCGTAGCTGGACCTGGGGGTTCTGCTAACGGAGCCCATCGGTGCCGCATCGGGTGCTCTGTGCCGAGGGATCCTGCTCGCCTTGGATTCATGGATCCCAGGGAGCAGCTCTGGGCCGAACAGCACTGCACTGCTGGGGTCTCACAGGGGTCGAGGGAGAGACTGATGGCATTATTCATCCTGTTTATTTATCCTTATTAGAAAATGGGATGAAAGAACAGGGCCCGGCGCCTGCCTTTAAGCACCGGCTGAGCAGCGCACACATAGCCCCAATTAAACACTGCCCGGACGAGGCCTTTCTCCATATTGGAAACCCAGCTCTGTTTAACGAGGACCAATTAAATCCTGCTTCATTTTACCTGGGATCTCACAACAAATTCCTTTTCTTCTTCCCTGGTAATTACTGGCAGAATCAGCCCCGCTGTTGGGGCAGGAAGCCCTCCCTGATAACCCACCTGAACCCCGGCTGGATTCCAGCAGAGCCAGGGGCTCCTTCCTGCCCCCAACCCCACCAAAACCCAGCTGGGATCAGCCCGGGCCTCCAGTCCTCTCCCACTTCAGCCCACCACGGTGCTGGCAGAGTGGGGCCCCTCCTGGGGAAGCATGTGGAGCTATTCCAGCCTGGCTCTTGCCTACATTCCCAGGCCTCCCCTGAGCACCCCACAATGTTAAAAACTGCACCCTGTCTCCCAGGGGACATCGCTGCAACCGGGACATTCAATTAAATAATCCTGGCCCTTTGCACCACAAATAAATGGCTTTTTTTCTTCCCACAAATATTTCCTTTCCCAAGTTCCCTTTCAAAAGGAAAAAAAAAAAACCAACAACAACAAAGAAACAAAACCCCAAACTGGAGAACAACAGGAAAAAAAGGAGAGGGGGGGAAAGAAAAGAAAGAAACTGTTCTCCTTTCTTTTCCCTGTGTGCAGGGTAATTGATAGGCTCTATCAGAGGTCAGGATTTGCATAAGAATTAAGAGCAGTAAATTAATTTAATATTCCATGCACATCTCCAATTATTCCTGCAGACCTTTGTCTCCCCGGCTGGCAGAGAGAAGGTTCAGCTGCTCTTCAACCAAACAACATCTGTGCAGTTAATAATTTGATAAACAGCTCATACAAATAGTTTCTGAATTATCTGCCAAACCAATGACTATTCAGTTTGGAAACACTCGGCGAGGGCTGTGCCGGCGGCTTTGGAGCCCCAGCCCGGGGATTTGGCTGCGCGGACAGAGATTCGCCCTGCGTATCCCTAAAATATCAGCAGCCCTCTGCAACAAAATCCCATCAAGAATGACATGTGAAATAAGCTATTGGTAGTAATTAATAAGAGCCCATCCTGCACAGTGTGTGCCCACCACCTGGAGAGGCTCACACGTCCCCCAGCTCCGGGCTCCAGGTGGATCCATGTGAGGTCTGTGGCCTCATGAACTGCTCTCGCTGGGTGCAGCATTATCAGCCCTTCAGCTGCTTCCTTCCCTACACAACCCCCTGGAAAGGGGCTGGCTTCTCCTGGCTGTTTCCTTGCCCCAGTCTCCAAGGAAGAATGGCTGACAGTTGCCTGGCTAAATCCAAATTTCAGCGCAGGAAGGACATCCTGATTTTCTGCCAGGGAAACCCAATCTTACAGTAAAATTGAGGTGGCTCCTTCATCCTTACCCACATGGATGCAGAGGTCCAGATCCAGGCTGGCCAAGCACCACCAGTTTAATGCACCTCCATGGGCTGTATGGAAAGATACAGTGCTTGGCTGCTTCTGCCCTGGAGCTGGGCAGTGTTGAATCCCCATCCCTGGAGGGGTTTAAAAGATGTCTGGGTGTGGCACCTGGGGACACCGTGGCCTTGGCAGTGCTGGAGGAATGCTTGGACTTAGTGATCTTAGAGGGCTTTTCCAACCTTCACAATTCCATGATTCCGTATCTGCGTGGGCTGTGGTTCCTGCAGCACTCGCAAGCCTGACCTTAAGTTAGATTGGCAAAGAGCTCCACTGTTGCTGCCACTGCTCCTCACTCCCCTCAGGCATTAAGCATCATCCCAAAATTAATAAAAAGTTGATTTTTAAAAGTTGATGAAGTTCTCCAAGCTAAAGGAAAGGTTAATGCACTTCTCCATAGTCATACAACTTTCATGTCTGCTGTCATAAAGAGCTGATTTTTTTCTCCCATTTAAAAGGAGAATTTACATCATGAACAGAAATCTAGTAACAGGGACACAAACAGAAGCGAAGGGATGAGGTGCCAAATTTGGAGGGATGTCTGGGGCTTGATAAACCACTGCAGGCTTAACACAGCCAAAATGAGGCCAGACTCCCCACTGGGACCGTGGGACAGGCCAGACCTGGTGCCTCCCCCGGGGGAGGGAGATCCTGCGCCCCGGTGTAGATCCCACATTTGGGATTTGGAGCTCCCAGGCTCCATTCCTGCTGTTACCTGGCTGCAGCGCCGGCTCCAAGCTCACCGTGGGGAATCAGCCCTCTGAATATTCAACACCCGCAGCTCCAGGGCTGCCCAGAGCCAGGGATTTGCTAGGAAATGGAAGCTTTTTCCACTCCTTCCCAAAATTCAGATCAATGCACTGTGCTGTCTCTGGAGCTTGAGGCTGGTTTGACCTGAGTGTGTGTTTTGCCTCAGCTTTAATTAAACAAACACATTCCAGTTTTTATTTTGGAAGCTAATTGTGTTGTTTTAAGGAATTCAAATCCCCCTTTTTCTAGCCCCCAATTCCCAACGCTTCATGTTGTAAGGAGGGAATTGAACCCTCAGCTGTTTTCTGTCACCCAGCACGGGCATCCCTCCCTCCTGTCACATTCCTGTGGTTTGGCAGCCCAGGGCCTGGCACGGTGGGTTTTGGGACTGGGGAGATGCAGTGCTGGCTCTGGAGAGCAGGATGCTGGAGATGTGGTGTTTTTGGGGCTGTGGGTTCACCCTTGGAGCCCTTTAGCCCTTCTGGTCCCTGGATTTAACCCCAGCAAGGGGATTTCAGCACTGACACTTGCCAAGGGGCGCTGGGCAACTTGATTAATGTTTGAAGAGCTCTGGGCAAAGAGTGCCGTGTGTGTGGACATTTTCTCATATTCCACCTAGGCCACAGTCCCCCTGGACATCCTGGCACTGCCTCATCAGTCACATCCATGGCTGCACAGAGTTTCCTCTGGCATCTCAGCCACCCTACCACCACCAAAGGCTGAGGAGGAAAAATCAAAACCCCAGCTCGTGCAGATTTCTGGTGCCCGGAAGCCACGATCCCAGCACCGCTTTTTGGCACGGAAGATCTCTCTTTACGGACTCGCTCGTCGAGCTGCCGTGCCACTCTTTTCTTTATGGAGCCACAGAAGTGTCTGTAATGAGAGATTAAAATAGTAGTCGTGCCCCGTGATTTATTTTTGAAGTTCTCGCCTCTCCGCGCGTGTAAATACCCCGGGCTGCGGGCCGGGATAAATAACGCAGCGCAATATATTAACGGGGGAGAACACAAAGCGCCGGAAAGATGGAGAAGGGGGAAGGCATTTGCTGGGTGGTAAGTTATGGGGCCTTTGGAGGCAGGGCAGGGGGAGGCTGAGCACGGGGAGGGTTCGCTCCTGCCTTCCCCCCACCGATAAATCAGCAGTCTCGCGGTGCTGGAATAAAATATGCCGGGTCCCTGTGGCGGGGTGGCACGCGGCGCGGGAGCGCGGGCCACGCAGGCTGACTGCAAATGGGGTGGGCCATCAGACGCTGCCATAAAACACCCCCTTGCCTCCCCCAGCTGATTATCAACTTCATGCATAGCAAATGACAGAGCGGGAGCGCCAGCGGCGCCTCCACCGCTCTGCCCGAGGTAAAAAAAAAAAATAAAATATTTACAGACTGACAGGCTAATGGACACTTTGCCAAAGAGCCGTTCGAAAGAAGTAGTAAATGGGCCCGTGCTGATGCAGGGCAGCGGGCCCGGTCAGGGATCAGGACACACGGCACCGGATCGGATAACATCTAATTGGCAGGTCACATCCAAATGAGTGTAGTCATGCATCATCCGGAAGGCTTTCTGCTGGTTATAAAGACACTTGTAAACAATTCAGCCGCTGAACATGGCAATAATATGTTGATCCGGCATGTAATGAGGTGTTCCTGGAATCAATAAACTAGTCATGAAGAGCAGGGAGCAAGGTCAGCGCCTGCCTTTTTGATGACCTTTGCTGGCTGGTGAGGACATCATATACTCTGAAGAGGACTTTTCTCATATTGCAGAAGGCGCCGAGTGTCAGAACTTCCATTCGCAGCAAGCAAATGAACAGCCGGGCTCTGCATGCTAATGAAGTCCAGGCTATTTTCCACCTTTTCATCTGCACATTATGCTCTTGACTTTGGAGAAGGTGGGAATTAGGTTGGACCCTCGTGTCAGACTGCCTGATGGCTCGGCTCCGGAAAACTGGTAATTGAAGCTGATGACTGATGCGGAGGAGGCCTGAATTTGGAAATAAACAGTTTCAAGCACTGCATGTCATTTCTAGAGAGACTGCTGAGTGAATGGAAATGAGCTCCGTTTCGCCGATCTAATGCAGTTTCTCAGCAGGAAAAACACTGTCTTTGAGACAACAATGCCAATCAGTGAGATTTAAATGTCCCGGCGA